CCTTTCAGTCTAAAATGATGTCAAAGCAGCTTGTCTAAGACCTGGATGCTGCTTTTCAGTATGGATGGGTGTAGCTGATAGCTAAATGAGAGTACAAGCAAGGATAAATACACTGGGGGTGCCTCTGGACTAGGAATGCACCAGAGAGTACTTAGACCTTGATATGACACAGCTTTCACCATGCCAACATTATGCAACAGGCAAATTTTTCTGGTACCTCTTGGTTCTTTGTTGGTTTTATTTTCCCTACATTTATGATGTCCTCTTCAAAAGAAGATCTGAGTATGTTTCTGTCACTACAATAATGCCATCGATCACAAAAAACGCATAAGAAGGTGTCACTATATTCCTGAAGAACTTACACCAAAATACTTAGGCCAGTACTTTGTGACTGTTCTTCTTTGGAGGCAGTAAAACCCCATTAAAAGAATGCTGAGAAGAGAAAATGATACTGAGCACCAATGGTGGCTGGAATGTTTTTTAGCTGATGGAAATAACAGAAAAATGTATATGTGTGTATATGGAGTGCAATGGAGATTTGAGTATGAAACTGTAACAGTATAGGTTATTCATTATCAAGGTGATACTAGTAAGACTAGAATACTCAGTTAAATTTTGGAAAACAAAAAAATGGTTATTACCTTGTAAGGGACCTTTTAACTTTCTCTTAAACTCCCCTTTTTGAGCTAAGTCCAAGCTGCAATATGCCTTCCTTTGCAAGTTTGGTAGCAGCAGGTGAAATCCCCACTAAGGGCCAAAACATGGGCACACAAATGCACACTTTGCATTGTGTTTAAACATCAGCTAAAAAAAAAAAAGGAAGAAAAAATAAAAATGGTAATATATTGCAAGTTGTTACATGCTGTTATATGTTTCCTCTGTTTCATTGTGTTGCCACCGCTGCCACTATCAAAACAGAACAACAAAGAAAGACTTTGGCAAGGTTTATAAATTCTTGGTGGGGATAGACCCCCCACTATTCCCAAGGCCATCTCTGTCAGGCAGGAGAAGTCTTGCCCTCCATATTTTTAAGACCAAAAACTGCACCCCAAGTCTTGAGCTTAACAGCCTCCCTAGCATCCTGCCGTATCCTGTATCTCCTGAGCCTGTTCTCATGCATGTTTCCATAGCAGCAGCAGGACAGCTGTCCAGTTCTTTTATTCATGGTTTAACAGTCTGAAGCAACTACAGTTGTCTGCTTGTTGACTCAAGAGTTCCTGTTATCCTCACAAGGGTGATCTACTGTCACTCATGTATTCAACAGTGGTCCATCAAGCTCTCTATCTTCTGTGCTGCAGCTGGAGTCGACACAGTCTTCCCCACTGTCCTCCACTCTTAAAAAAAAGATGAGCTCTCTTTCAGAGGAGTACTCTATGAGACCCCATGAGCTACAGACAGCCTCACCATTTAGCCAAAATGAATGCAAATTATTCTTGGAGCTCCTAAGGGGGCAGTGCAAATTATTCTTGGAGCTCCTAAGGGGGCAGTGTGTGCCTTTTGTTAATGCTCTGGATAAGAGTACTACAGACTTGACTCATATAAAAGCAAATATTTCCATTCTGTCTCTTCTGTCCTACTCGATGTACAAATATAGCTATTCTTGAGAAGATTCAGACAATGTTAGCAAAGGTATATTCTTCCACACTTAGTCCACACACCCTCTGCCTTCAATAATATAATCTGGAACACAGTCCTCTGCTGGGAAGAATATTCAGGGAGGCATATAATGCAAAGTTTCTTCCCTGACAGTGAATATGAACTATATATCAATGTCCTGGGACTCAGAGCTGCCAGGCAGGCCTGTTCAGGTGTTTCTGAAAAATAATACTGCTGTGTCCTATGTCAACAAGTAAATTCTTCCTAACTTTTCAAGGAGGGAGCTGCCTCTTGGGATTAGTGCATTTATCCATGATCTGCCTTGCAGGCACTCTGAGCAGTCAAACAAACCAACCTCAGTTGCTTCAAACTACTAGACCATGACTAGAAGATATAGGTAGCTGTTCTAATACCAGTATTCAACAGTGTTCCTCTTTGTGTCACAATCTAACAAGAAATGTCAGATATCTGGGTTTATCTCTAGAAAGTTACTGATTTTTCTGATTAAAGACCTTTTTTCCATTTCTTCTGTTCTTGAAAGTATTTTTCCAAGTAAAAGAGAGCTCAGGCAATACTGTTGGTCTTAGAAAGAGATTAACCATTTCTGTGCTAATTACAAAAAAAAATCTCACATTGAGCATCAGACTGTATGAAAGATTGCTTTTGGGCTGTAAAAGGAAACTACATTTCATTTAGGGCCTCCCTGGGAAGTGATGTCCTTTTGGATTCCCATTTGAAAATCAGCCAGATGGGGTCCCATTCATTCTTTTACTAAGCCTTACAGATTTACTGAAGTGTCTGGGAGCAGTATTATGTCCAGAAGAGCTGTCTGTAAGAGGATGTTCTGCCAGGTACGTTTTCATGAGTACTGAACATGGACAACCAATGAAAGGAGGAAGAATGGTTACTTGTTTGCAGTTTTTCCTATGAATATATATATTTGGAGCAATATACCTCCAATACTTCCTCCTACTCCTCTTCCCTCTGTAGTCTAATTGAATATAAAGCTTCTTAGGATGAGAGGACCTGAAATGACTAGCTCTTCCACCCCTGATTTTACCATATATGCAGCACATGGAGAGAGAAGGAAGGGATGTCTTTAAAGGTAATGCCAAAATAAAAAAAAAAAAAAAAAAAAGGACTAACAATTTTACAATGATGGCATAATTGTTTACACAATGTTAGCACAGGGAAAGAAGAACTGCTACAGTTCTGTTTTCATCAAACTGTTCAATTCCCACTGATCCCACTTCCATGGAAGCCAAGAGGAATTCTGACATTAATATCAGCAGGAGTAGTACTAGTCTTTCAGTACTGTAGACTTTGATCCTTCTGATGCTTATATTTAGGAGCCGGCATACTGAACTTGTGCATGAAGTTAATCACCTGTGTGAAAGCTTGCAGATAGACTATCAGAATCTGATCCTACAAATATTTGTGCTTGAACTGAACTTCAAACACAGCAGTGTTCAAACTGGATATGTTTTCTGTAGTTTCAAAAACTCTTGGTGAAGGAGGCTATCACCTACACTGTGCTTTGAATTAGGTCCTGTACTTTCTTCTCTGGCTCGTACTGTGGCGTGTAGGGTACTTTGACAAAGCTAATCCTCTTAAGGGGAAAGATAAGCAAAGTTACTTTCTCATGCTTTGATCCCATTTATTGTGTGTGGCTGCATATTTAATTTTGGAAGAAATTACAATCTATTAAACTTGCAAAGCCTGAAAGAGTAATTTTGCTCTTCCTGAAAGAGTATCTCAGTGTAATGATACTTCTAATAAATGGCTTATATATTTTTCATAATTTTTATGTCAACCAAATTTTGAACAATGAGATTGAAATTACAAATGTGGGTAGACAATATTATCATATTCAACAAAATGTGCCTGCTCAGCTGTGTAAAAGAATACACACTGCCTTTAGCAAATCATTTCTGAGGCTTTTCAAATAAGGTGGTGAACTGGTAATGATGCCTGTCAATTCATCAAAATAAACTATTTTATCTACAGATAGAATTTTCTTGTGATTTTGATTAAAGAAAATGTCTCCAAAGGAGCATGGTACCTTATCTGTGATTTTTTTTACTATTCAAGTCTTCCTGAGATATCAGTATTCTTGAGTCCTAGTCTGAGATATTTTCTCTGGAAATATGCCATATATCTCTGTCTACCATTTCTTCCTTCCACAGAAGTAAACACAGTGTTTATCATTACATTCCCTATATATTCTTTCCATAAATCACACTAATCAGAGAAGGAAATACTAGTTTTATTCTTATCTCACTCGTTTACATGCAATGAGGTGTCATAGGTATGTTCCTCTGGCCTTTCTAATCTTCTAAATGTACTTGTTGAGAGCCATTTTGTCTTTATTGCCTACTGCTCACAAATGGCTTTCTCAATTTCATCCTGACTAGTTTTGGAGAAACATCATCAAGGTATGAAAAGACTAACAATAAAAAGGAAATTAGTAGCTGGCGGCACTGCATCAGAAAAAAATATTATTCTGTTATGACTACAAACAGTAGCAGCAAATATGAAAATAGACTTTCAAGTTAATTAGCATTTAAGGGAAATGGGTTTGGAATAATTATCAGATTACTTTTAAGAAGCTATGTTTACAAGTGCATCTCTGTTTTCTATTAAGTTCTTGCTAGGGAAAAATACAAATAATTACACATATTGAGTTTTAAATCTGTTCTATGTTCGTGCTTCCTGACAAACAAAGACTCAGGAGAATAAAAAAAATTACGGTATTGCCTGCTCTTCACAGCTCCAGTGAACGTGAAAGTTGCCTATTCTTCCCAAAGGCAAAGAGCCCTTTATTGATCCTATATATGTGGGGGAATAAGCATGCTCTTCTCCGTGCCCCGTGCTGTGACTCTGCCAACATTCCTTAGATGAGGGACCTTTGATTAGACTCTGCCAACAACCTGTATATGTCCACTAGGACATCTGTTTGCAACCCCAGTGAGGCTACTTCCAGCCTACTGCAGCTACAAATGGATGTAAAGAGACCAGATCTGATCCACTCTTCATCACTATTCATACCTTAAGCGCTATTTCACATATCTTTTCTCTTTTTCCTCTAAGCCTTTGCTGTCCAAAGTGACTGGTGTAAGTGATCAGCGTCACAGAAGCTGAGCATCAATGTCTTGGGAGCTGAAAGTTTTCAAATAATCTGAACACCAGAAGTACTAAATCTTTTACTATACCCTATTTTCCCTTGAGCATTCTGGCTCTACAAAAAAGAGATAAACAAATCATTCTATATTGTCTTCTTCCTGCAAGGATGGTAATAGCTGGGAAGAGAAAAATAACAAAACTTGAGCTAGCTAGACTGCTGTTATGATAAATGAGCAATCTGCACATTTGCATCTACTTTGCTTAATATTTTTCACATACAGATACTTCATCGATTGGAAGAATGATGTGGACAGCTACTTTACAATAGATGCCACTGAAGGAACCATTGCTACTAATGAATTACTGGACAGAGAAAGCACAGCACAGTACAATTTCTCTATAATTGCAAGTAAAGTTAGTAAGTATGACACAAAATGAATTAATATGCTAATGTGGTATTTTTTTCAGAGTGTAGTGCTCAGGCATAAATATACTGTGAATAGTGCATGTATTGCCAAGATTGTTTAAGAAGGCTCAATAAATATCATTCTGCCAGACTCAATGTGAGGCTGAGTGTGATGTTCAAACAGCCCTGTATAGTAAGGATTTTCTAATAGCCCTCATGTAGGCACAGTTCCCTCAGAAGCTGAAAAATATGTTGTCAGCATGAAGAGCATGAGGAGCTGTATGGAGGCCTCTCAATTCTTATTTCTGATTTTGTAATTCCCTCCATATGAAATTATGTTAGTCAAATAACAGGCTTGTCAACCTGCTTTTTGAAGGAAGAAAAATTTAAAAACTCAATCAATTCTCAGAAAAAAACCCAACACTAAAATCGAGTGAAGATTTAAGGCCCTAAATGAATCAATCTGTGTGCTGTATCTCTGCTCTTATGTTTCTCTCTGCCCAAGACTTTATGCATAACCACTTGTTTTCTTTTCCTATATGACCTGTGGTGGGGTTTTTGTTTCTTGTCTTCATGTCTTCTCCTACATAGTGGGTTTTTTTTATAAGACCTCCCTTCTTCTGCTCTATTATGTAGCTGCAGCTTTCTTCATTGCCATCCTTCTGTGTAGCATTCCTCCTTCATGATCCTGTCAAACTGAAACTCTCATAGACATATACCACCCTTAGAATACAAGTCTTTAGGTCACTTAGTGGTTGTGTAAAGGCCACAGAAGTCTTTCTGTTGTTAACAAGCTGGGGAACAGGACCCTGCTGTATTTCTTATTCACTCTGTATTGTTAATGTGTCCAGAAATGCAAGTTTCTAAAGCAAAGAACATGCTTTCCTCAATGTATTGCTTGGCACTGAGTTTTTTTAAAAGTAATACATGCTACTAACAGGAAGAGGGAGATTTTGGAAGCAGAGAAGGTATATATACATTATTTTAAATAAATAAATTCTCAGTTGTAGTTATCTCAAAAAGAACTAGGTGCTCACTGCCTAGGATCTGAAAATGTAGTGAAGACACCAGTCAAATGAACACTTGAATTTTATCTGTAGCTTAGAAAAGGAATACAGTAACAGAGAGAAATAAGCTATCACAAGTGATTGAATGCATGGAGATACATGTGCATGTGTATATTCACAGAATACCCAGCAGAACTGTAATTTGTTTCCAGAGAAACTGAAAGGCAGGTAGATGCCAGGCGGGGTGGTCTCGTAATGGTCTATGTTTCAGTAAAGCTTAACTATTTAGACTTATTGGTGCACAAAGAACATTGGAGATTTGTGAATCTTTTCTGCAGTAAGGCAGCAGTTTTAGTAAACTTGATCCAAATCTTTTTATTATTCCCAAGAGTAGTTAAAGCTAGATAAAACCTCCAAGTGTACTTGTCTGTGCACCTTCCCAGCTCATATATAGTAATATAATGTTTATGTAGAGCTGTAGCAGGTAGACTATATTATGAATTTTAACAATTGCCTAGTTAAGAATATACACCTAAGACATATTTGTGACTCATTTCAGCATACCTAAAAATATATATTTACTGTTACCCATAGCATTAAAAACAGTTGCCATACCTGTACTACATGGGTAACTGCCAAAATTTTTGAGGACTGGAGGTATACTAACTGTCAAAACTTTATATGCAGTTGTCTCACTAAGAGCTAACACAGAAATAAAGGCTGGGGTTTAAGGGATGACACACTGCACACAACTGGAAAAAGAGAGAATATCTCAGAAAAAGGGGGGAAAATCGCTATATTTGAAGAATTTCTGCTATACATTTAAAAAAAAGTTACTTGTTCAGTGCTGACATAGAAACACTGAAATTGCCATCTCTTACTAGACAAAAAGTGCACTGAACAGTGCCTTGACATACACATGATTAGCTAAGGAAAGTGGCCCAGTATTGCAATTCGTTGCATAAACTTGCCTCAGGCATGGACACTATTGTTACCTAAGTATTTTCAATTCTCCATGACCTTATATCTAAAATAAACAGACTCCAAACTAGTAATAGTCATATTAAGTGCTGTTACTTAAAAAACTTTATTGCTGAAATATGTATTTTGTTTTCTCACTGTGACAGAATAACAAAACCCCAAAATCCCTCAACTTTTAGACACGGTCATTCTGCAAATTATCTTTTCTTCAAGAAAATTATAAACAAAGTCCTCCAGCTTTATCCCCATCAAGTCAGAGGAAAAAAATCAATTAAACTGGCCTTGCCATCATTCCCCTATGTGTGAAAAATGATGCCAAGCTCATGAGCAGGCTTGCATGGACTCCCTATACCTTAACCCTGGGGCCTTCTAAGTGATTGTTCCCCTTTGTTCTTCTTGTAGGTTCAACATGAAACCCTGTACGAATCACAGATGATGCTTGTGTTAAATTTTTTTCTCTCAGCCACTAAAGTCTTGAAGTAATATTACAACATTTGAGCAGTCAAGTTACTTTTCAAGCAATGACATAAATGGCATGCAATTTAGATAAATAAATGCTAAATATAGCAGCAGGCAATGGATAAATGTAACTGTAGATATGAATGTACCATTTAGACCTTTCTTGCAAGCTGATAAATCTGACTCTTACTAGCACTAAACCACCAGAAGTTATATTTTTAAAGGAATACATGTAAAAAATGAGACAGAAGAGAATTACCTTGTGTTTATTAAAGTAACCTTTGCTGACTGCCTATTGCAGAGGAAAAAAAAAAAAAAAAAGGTCTTGTCCAAAAGCCTGGTTGTTTGGGAACTTGTAAATGGTTGCAAGTCCAGTGTTCTCATTCTGCATCTATTTGACCTATAAATATATATACTGAGATTATTCTTCCTCAAACTCTAGGTCGTGCCCCTTAATACCTGCCTAAACCACACATGGTGCAGGTTAGCAGCTTGAAGAGAGGTGGAACTTGGACCCTTAGCAAACAGTTAATTATGAAATCTGCTTGTCCTAGGCTTACTTGTGTCAACTTCTACAGTCACAGCCAGAGAAGCCCTGGTTACCCAGCAATAACACGGTAATATCTTACATACCAACAGTAGATGCTGGTTCCAGATAGGAACCCTGAAAGAATTCCAGATATCTGATCTAAATATTGTCTGGGAATCTGTCTCCAAATAGCAGCATAACTGACTCTTGAGAACATCTCAGAGGTGTACCCAGCATGGAGTGACAGATAGCCTGCTGTCATATTTAACACAAGATACCATAACTTTATTGTTTCCCCTTGTTAAAGAAGCCTGTCCAAAAGTAGAGAACTTTTTAAGTGGGAGGTGGATGATTGTTCTGCTGACACATGGATGATGGCACAGACATGAAGGCAGCTGAATGCAGAAGGTCCTTTACCCATCCGTAGAAATAAAAAATCAGCCTTCAAACAGAACAGTGCATGAATAGGGAGAGGATGTTTCAGACTTGCATTCCTGCCCCCCCCCCCCC